GGGGGGGGGGGGGGGGGGGGGGGGGGGGGGAGCATGTATTAATGTTTTTGAAGAGATTTTTTTGTTGATTTACTAATCAATAATTCAAATGATTGGCAGGTATCATCCAGACAAGAATTCTAGCAATCCTGAGGCTTCAGAACTGTTCAAGGAGGTTGCATGTTCATATAGCATTTTATCAGATCCGGAGAAAAGGAGGCAATATGATAGTGCAGGATTTCAGGTATTCTCTCCTCTCACTTGTATCTTTTGCTAGGTTTATACTATATCTTTCTGTACCAATCCTACTATATCTTTTGCTAGGTTTATACTTCCACATTTTTCTCCAGATAGATAGGAATACACATTACGATAGATGGACATGGCTTCCTCACATGATGTACTGATCCTTACATTGTGTATACTTTAATTTTTTTGACCCCATGTACATCTGTTGTTCGAATCCAATCTTGTCTTTTAGGGTTTCTAATAATTTTACCCTTTCGACTAATTTATATAGGGTATCTTCTAATTGGTTTGACATTTGTCTTTAACAATAATAAGGCCCTTGATGTCGAAGGAATGGATATGGAGATTGATTTATCCAGCCTTGGAACTGTCAACACGATGCTTGTGGCTTTATTCAGGTTTTTAACGTTACAAAATTAGAATGTTCTAGTACTTCTGATATTCTGAAGTTTTTTATTTATAAATTTGTTTGGTAGCAAGTTGGGTGTGCCTATTAAGACTACAATTTCTACTAACGTTCTCAAAGAGGCTTTGACTGGAACCGTCAGGGTCAGACCTCTTCCAATTGGAACTTCAGTCAGCGGAAAGGTAAATGATCATTTGACCAGGAAGAAAGCTTACTTGTTGTCCTGCCTTTTTGGGTTGAATTATCTTCTTCGACAGGTAGAAAAGCAATCTGCTCACTTTTTTGGTATAATAATTAATGAGGAACAAGCAGAGGCGGGGATTATAGTCAGAGTTATGTCCTCTGTGCAAAGCAAGTTTAAGGTGCATTTGCTATAATTTTTGAGTTAAAATTTTGTGCTTCTTGTTATGGAGAAAGGTTCTTCTTTCATCTATCCTATAGGATGCCTACACATGCAAATATAAGCTGGGTACTAAAGGCTGTAATACACTTGATCTTCAGCTCCTGTACTTCGAACAAGAGGCAAATGAGGGGTATGGGCTGGTCTTGCAGGTAATTTATCTTTATCGTTTCAGTTTAGGTTGCTCAATGGTCTTTTGATTTCTGGCGCTCATCGCTTTTTCGTCAAAGAGACCTTCTATATGTAAAAAATGGAACTGATGTATTGAATCCACATTGCAATTTATCAAAAAAATTGAGTCACTCATGCTCCATAATTTGTTTGTATAAGTATTGTCTATATGTGAAGTAGTCCAAACTTTTTATTTCTTTTTGACGCATTTATTCTAGACATAGAAATAAAACATAAACCCTGATTCATTTTCATATAATATTTATTCTTAACTTCGGAAATGTTTCAAGCTGTTTCATTTTTGTTAGGAATTTGATTATATACAAGACTAGTGCTGCTGATTAATAATGAAAAATAATTGGCTTGTGATATTCATTTCTTCTTTCTTCTCCCGTTCTCTATTCTAATTTCTCTTTATTGCTTCATGACGATTTAGTATTGTACCCAATTCTTTTAACTGACAAACTCTTTGATGTTGTTCATCAGAAGAAAAAAAAGAAGTTACTTTGACACATTATTGTTCTGAAAACTCTTTTAACTTAAAAACGTCTCAGGTACTGTCCATCGGCCTAAGAAATGATCACAAGTGTTATCCAGTCAATAGAATGGTAGCAACCCAATTAAATTAGCACAACAAGTGTTTATCAATTTGGTTCATTATTCCAAACCCAACAGCCCAAATAGTCTGTCAGCCCACTATTACGATAGTCATCCATCGCACTTGAGGTGCATCAGCTGATCATCACTTGGAAGGAAGAGTAATTTGATCGTCCTCACTCACTTTTGATTTGCACTAGTGTCTGTGTTAGACAGTTGAGAAAACTAATTATGTCAGATATCAAGATGAATTGGACATAAGCTTCTTGAGGTTGGTTATGCTGAAGTTGGACTTGATCACACGTTCCTTCAACTCATGGAATCTTTAACTGTGTATCTATCTTTATGAGATATTTTACTAAGTTGTATATACTTTATCTTTATGCATTCCACTTGACAACTCATGCATGTTTCTTCTCCTATGTAATTGATCAATATACCTCATCATGCAAACTCGTAATGCTGTTAACATATACAGGAAGACAGTGAGAAGACAGGCAAGGTCACATCGGCTGGAATGTATTTCTTGCATTTTCAAGTGTACAAAATGGATTCAACTGTAAATGCTGTACATCACTTCACCTTCTTTTTTTTTTTTGCCCCTGAAGAGGCTTGATTGAAATGTTTGCTGAACTACTCACTTGTTTGTGGGAAGTTGGCAATGGCTAAGGACACAAAAGCCACTTTCTTAAAACAATTGGAAGGCCTTCAACCTTGTGAGGTTTTGCAACTGAAAACTGGAGCTCACGTATTCGCAGTTTATGGTTTGAACTGCTTATAATACATGTTTGTTAATTTGACATACTTGATGTATTTCTTAATAACAATTAATTGCATGAGAAGAGCAAACAATTTCTGTCTTTTGTCTGGTACCTGTAGGTGATAACTTCTTCAAACCTGCTGTCTATACAATTGAGGCTCTCTGTGCAAAGTCATATGAGGATACAACTCATAAGCTTCTGGGTATTGAGGCTCAGATTTGGAGGAAGAGAAATGAGCTACGCCAATTCGAGACAGAATATAGAACTGTAGACTTCCTTTTCCAATCATATTTGTTTTGGATGTTCTGTTTAGATTATCTGTATTACACTTACTTTTGCCTCAATATTTTTAGGCGTTGTCACGCTACCAAGAAGTAATTAATAGATACGTCCAGGCAAAGCAGTCTGTAAGTTTGCTTCCTGAGAATCCTTAATACTTGTATGTTTCCATCAACATAATATCCTTGCATTGATGCTAATCTCTATCTTTCTCTCTCTGTAACTCATTTTCCCTCTATTATATGCACAAATATAGATCCAGAGATGTTATGTTAAATAACAGAAAGCAAATTTAAGTTCTAACCTTTTTTCATCTTGAAGTTGAAATTTCAGATTTTGTAGTTTTATTCATTGTCCAGAATAAGATTTGCATTTTCTGATCTCTCCGGTTCAGTTTCTTTCCTATTATGCTTAACTATTTCTGCAGTAATGTTTGTGTTCATTTTTATCAAGCCATTGTTCATAGATTGACACGCTAACAGTTTGTAGACAGCCTTTGCCTTTGGTATTTACTCCTTTGTTATCATTTTGTGCTTTCCTCGAACAGGTCGATGAGCTGCTAAAAAGGCGAGATAATATCCATTCTTCTTTCACTGTTTCAAGGTCAGTTCCAAATGCTAGTGGGAGTGAGCCTTTGGGTAATGGAAGCAGCAGCAAATCTCCTGGTGAAGATTTGAAGTCTAAGAGTCTGGTTGAAGAAGGCAGTTCACATTCAAAGGGCAAATCTACAAAGAAGAAATGGTTCGGTCTTAACCTGAAACGATGAGACAAAAAGTGAGCAGTAGAAAAATTATGGGTACTCTCCAGGTTTGAAATGCAATCTTGCATACGACTACGATCTTTTGTGTGTGGTGGATTCATGTCTATGCAAAGCTTGCCTCGTATTATGATGATCGATATGTTCCTCCCATTTAGATGTAGTAGGGGCTGTTCCTTGCAATTTGCCATAGTTTATACTGCAAAATGTTGAGCATACAAAGGTTTATGTTATTAGATATCACTTCTTGTACGAGTTGGAATAGCTTATAGAACAACCCAATAGAATTCAATAAAAGTTCGTTGAGGATTTGATGTAAAAGTAAAATTTTCTCTTTTTGGTCCATGGCATTCGTAGCTTAAATTTTATTCTACGGGTATAACTTCAAGGGAATGAGGGGTGTCAAAATATTATGCACATTCTACAAAACATTAGTAAATACGATTATGATATATGCTGGCAAGGTTGTTTCTTGGAACTCTGCCAAGTTGTTTCCGAATACACTTCTTGTTCGTATTCTTTAAAGAAGGTTCTATTTTACTTTATACTTTGACATGCAATAGTTATGCTGTTTACTAGCCTTTTATGAGATTAGGACAAATAATTTTGTTTAGTGTTGAGATTAATGGTGACCGACTAGATGTTCAACTATCTTTATTATGTCTCTTTGTTGTAACTAGCTTTATACTTATTAAATCCTAAAGGTGTCGCAAATTTGTTGATAGTTATGCTTTGGTTTGCTCGTCTGTTGATGCTAAGATTATGGTATTTGTAATTTTGAATGTAAACTACTGAACTATGATGTTTGAATCTCAAGTGTCGCCATGTGTGTTTCTGGTTATCATATTCTTCTTGTTTGCATTTGATAGAAAAAGGTATTACTGAACAAAAAAAGTAAAAAAATATAAAATAAAATAAAATAAAATCGAGTGATGGGAGGGAGATACCAATCCTTGAACCCTTGAGTTCAATTGTAAAAGCAATAATCTCTAACCAACTACGATAAATTGAACTGGTGAAAAATTTAATACTTGACTATCTATATCTCTAGGGCTTTTCTTTCTGTCTTACTTGAGTCGGAGCTTGAGGGCATCTTGAAATTGAAATGGAAGACTCGTTTTCTGACCCGTTCGGTTTACAGACAGGCTCTTCAGTCGACGATTTTTCTCTGGTGGTTATCCCAGGCCATAGCACAAAATTTTATAATGAAATTAGTTCAAAATGAATCAAATCTTTCTACTTGAAAGAACGGCTGAAAAAGAGGTTCTCTAGTTTACAATTTGATCACTGCATAGTCTACATTGGTTCATTTGTCTTTATCTTTACCATTTATTGTCCGCGGAATATGTATGTCCTTTTTATTATACTCTTGTTTAGGACAGGACTAAGCTAACTTATAATAACCCACATTACATATTTCTATAATGTTTCATCTTACATAACTTGTCTGTATCTTCCTACATCCTTAGTTGCCCAAAATTTGTAGCATGTTCTCTAGTGTAAAGACCTCCCAATAAAATAAAGGGTATACACTCGCGAGCGCGCCCGCGCACACACACACACACACATACCCCAAAAAATATACCTCCAGCATGGCCAACAAATCGTTAGCCACACATGACCTCCTCCGGTAGGGGTGAAGTTGGTCACGCCCTCTCCTACGATCAAGTCGGTTGGGAAAGAAAATATATGAGTGTGGGAGAGTTTTAGACGTGAGCATCCAATATAAAAAAGGGTCAACTTGGGAAATAATAAGTAGAACAGTTATGACAAAGTTATAGTTTGAGAATCTAACTTGTATTATCCTAAGAATGACACTAAGTGTGAGCTTTTATAGTAGAAAATGATGATTAAAAGTCATTAGATGAGGAGATACATGGCATCATCCCCATAGCTGGGACCTCTTGCATAGTCATCAATTAATCATTCCTAGGTCATGTTGTATTTAATGGTGTGATGACTTAGCACTCTAGACCTGACATGTAAGACTAGAGTTGACTTGTTTAATTGAGTAGGACTGCCTATTCAGTGAACTGCCACATTATCTACTTGATACAAGATCTAGTATGAAGATCTTCTCTAAAACGCATCTACTTACCTCACCTCATCCATGAGGGCTCAGCTCTCCATGAAGGGTTGGACCAAATTGCCACATGGGTAGAATGATATGGATTGCTGGCGTAGATGCGCTAATTGCCACTTGGTCATGCTTAGAACTTTGTTGGAAGAGGCGTAATTATACCCTCCAAGTCCATGTATGAATATTTATATAATGCGTGGACTTTGAATATACAATATTAGTAAATTTTTGAAGCAGTTTGCGAACTTGATTTAAGGCGATGCCCTTACATTTAGGTAAGCCTTTTAGTGAAGATGGAGCCTTTGATAAGGCTGAATTGAATTTGGGCAAAGCCTTTTGCATAAGAGAGAGCCCATTCGAGAAGAGGCAGCCGTTGATAAAGCTTAATTGAACTTGGGCGAGGCCTTTTGCATAAGGGAGAGTCCATTCGGGAAGAGGTAGTCGTTGATAAGACTGAATTGAACTTGGGCGAGACCCTTTGCATAAGGGACATTCGGGAAGAGGCAGCTATTGATAAGGTTGAATTGAATTTGGACGAGACCCTTTACATAAGGGAGAGCCTATTCGGAAAGAGATAGTCGTTGATAAGATTGAATTGAACTTTGACGAGACCCTTTGCACGAGGGAGAGCCCCCTTCGAAATCATTCTTAGGCCATGCTGCATTTAATGTTGTGACGCCTGGCAGCCCTAGACCTGACAAGTAAGACTCTTGTTTGATTGAGTATAATTGTCTACTCAGTGAGTTGTCACATCACTCACTTAATACAAGATCTAGTATGAAGATATTCTCTAAAACGCATCTAGCTACCTCACCTCATCCATGAGGGCTTAGCTTTCCATAGGGGTTCGGCCAAATTGTCACATGGGTAGAATGATGTGGAGTGCGAGCCTAGATTCGCTTGCTGTGTAGTTGCCATTTGATCATGTTTAGAGCTTCGTTGAAAGAGACGTAACAACTTGTGTATGCATAAATATATTAACTGATAATTTTATATGAAGAGATGCCCTTAAACATTTCATTTTTAAACTACAACTCCTATTGAAATTGTGGTTTATGTGGAGACAAATTTCATCAACTTGCATTCATTTATGGCACATGTACTTACAAGACTTTTAAGGATTGTTTATCTGAGGTTCTTCATCCAATCATGTTGTGAGGTACAAAAAAAGTATAGATTCACTCTCTTTTTATGAGCTAGACTCACATGCATATATACTACAAATGATGAATGAATCATGCGTGAGTGGTTAAAATAGAATTTTAGTATTTAAATAAATTGCTTCTCTTTCATGTATGTTGAACGAGATTGACAATTATTGTAATTTTTCTTTGATGCTTACAATTGATATCTTTTAAAGAGTTGAGATCTATTGTCTAAAATTGATTGTCCAACTTGCTGTCCACTAATAATACATTAACACATTATTGTCATGCTTGTACTTGGTTATTTGCTCAATCTCTCAAACCAGCGGTTTATTATCGTATTTTATCGACAATTCTAAATTCCATTATGAGCAACAAAAACACTACAAAAAAATCTTCTCTCAACACAGTTTATTTCTAAAATCTTGTGTTTTAAAATAGGGTTCGAACCTTAAGAAAAAAAAAGAATCACCAAAAAAATAAAAATTGGTCTATCATTTGATGTGAATAGTCCAAGTACACATAGCAAGATCAAGAAAATTTTGTCCAATATTTAATTCTTAGACTATAAGAATCGCCCAAAAGTTCCTGTCTACGTGGCCAAAAAATAAATTTTGAGCCCAGAGTTGAGAAATCAATTATTTCCCGTTACATGTGGATGCGTCTCTCAATTAACATGTTATGTGGTGTTTATGTAGCCGTCATGTGTCCACTCAATTCCCACACTTAATTTGTCTCATTGGTTGACTAACTTCCCTTTCTTCCACCTCTCAATTCACGGGATTTTCTATTACTTGTATGTTTATTCAAGAATGGTTTAAATATTATACACATTTTAGAATGTAATATGGGCTTAGGATTCTGATTAGATGAAGAGAGAGTCATTTCACACCCACCCTTCAACTTTGTGCATTTAAATAAAGCAGATAGTGTTATTTGGAATGCATGGAAGATGTATCTGGAATATGGGGTTAGAGAAAGGTACTATGTGATAAAATTTATTGGTTGTATTGTATAATAATGTTTGTTATTAAATGTTTGAATCGATTCATTTAAAAAGTTTTAGCTTCAACATGATTTTAGAATAGATAGACGTTTTGAATTTAGGTTTGATCTAAGTTGAAAATAAAAATGAGTTTGATCGTGTATTCCTTCTTTAATAACTTTAGTATTTAGATGATGTGATTTAACATGACATCGGAGCTACAAATACTTAAGTTCAAGTCTCGTAGTCTCCTATATATGAAAACTATCCATTCAATTATTTGAGGAAAAAATTTATTTGACCTACCCGTGAAGGGAATTTAGCATTTATATGAAAAAAAAACTAATAAATAAATTTGTCATCTTTATAAGAGATTATGTTTTATACGAATAAAATCGTGTCATGCTCACGTTTTTATTACTTAAATATGCTATAAACGTATCTACAAAGGGATTGCAACTTGAAAAGTAAGTCACATTATAGTTGTCTTTTCTTCTTCTTCTTTCTTTTTTTTTTTCATTTTTCTTTTTGGTTTTTCCTTCCAAAGCAACGGTTGTAAAAGGGAGCAAACATGATTTGAAAGTTAATGGGTTGTATTATGATAGCATAATGTCTCAAATTAATAATCTTAAGCTAAGGCGACAAAAAAAAAAATAAAAAGCTTTCATTGGTTTGATTTTCTTGATAAATACATTTAGGTGGGCCACAATCGCGATTTGGAGGATCTTAGACGATAATTCCACGAAGACTTCAATTAATAACATCATGATTAGTGTCCTTAAAAGTGTTTTATATTAGGTGGTGGAACCATTAACTATAGAACATTTGTTGATTATTCAACTAACTAGCTCGATAAAGTTGATTGGAAAATGCTAAAAACATTACATGAATTCTAAAACTGTAGGGTCCCTCACCCCCACCGCGCGCGTTTGGGGAGATCTCTTATAGGGCTCTACCAAAAATCTAGCACATAGGGTCCCAACATGTCAATTTGAACAGGTGAGAGATCAAATGGAATAATGGATTCGCAGTCACATGTAATTTCCTTATTACAATGGAGTAGCCATGTGCTTCTCTCTTCTTTTTTCCTTAAACATCCATATATGGTTAGTTTTGACTATGTTGTCTTAACATGTTTGGATATAAAATCTTATGGAATTTGGAATGAGTAGATTCATGTTTCCAAACGGATTATAATGAGATAGGAAAATGATAATCTATTCGTGCAAAGATGCTAAGTGAACTACTTCAATCTCCTTATAAACTCAAGATTATCTTCATGTACAATTAATATTAAACTTTTTGTTCGGACATCTCTCACAATTCTCCTCAAACAAAGTAATATAATATCACGATCCACACACGATTATCACATCTCCCTTAGGGAATGACGTCTTCCATCCATCTTTATTAACCAAGAAGTTCTACATCATCACAAACCCTCTATTGTTTGTCATGATTAACTTGAGACTTACACATTCGTTTGAATATTTCACGTTCATTCAAGAATTCATCTTGTGCATCTATTAAACTAAGTCAATATTTTAAATATCTAAATCTCTATCGAAATTTGCATATTTTAATCTATTTATTTTAGTGTACCAAACATGTTAATAAGAAAATGGAAATGATCCCAAAAAGTTTAGAGTACAAAGTTTTAGTTATCCATTTGTTTAGAGTCTAAACTACTTTATGTAAACTTCCAATCTTTATGAGTACTTCCACTTGCATTAACACTAAGAGGGTCACTTCATTACATTATCTTTCTTGTCAAACCAACTTCTTGAGCCCCATAGCCATTGAAAAGGTCCCCAAAAATCATTTATCCATATTTTCCAAAGCTTAAAAGTAGATGAATTAATTAACATTTTGCATTCACTAATGGGATCCTAATCTCTTCCTTAATATATGACCATAATTTTAGCTCCCTGCTAAACATGCAAACAATAGCTTGGTCCCACCATTATAGTACTTATAAAAAATTACATAAGTTTTCCAATTTGAGAAAAATAATAGTCTAGAAACCAAGTGGCAAACAAAACCAAAACCAAGTTTCTTATCTACCAAATAAAAATGATCAAAAGAATTAGAGATTATTGTGTTAATTATTAATCTTTTTAAAATAATATTTATTTAATGTAACTTCACAAACTATATAGATAACTAGTTCAACAAAATAAAAATACCCAAATTAAGTCCTCAAGAGATGAATTTATAGTCTCTTAAATTCTAATAATACGTTTAGCACGTTAAACATAAAAAGATTTAACACCATTATTTACAAATGACGTTTTTCTCTTATAGTCTTATTCAATTACGTTATATCTTGTCTATAATAGCGTTTCAAACATTTTGGTATAGCCTTTTTCCAAAAGTCTAAGTGACTTTCATAGCATATCATGATTGTGCTTATATAAATGCTGGTTGGAATATTGTAGTGGAAAATTGCTTATTATAATATAAACAATTTTCATAATTACTTATTCTTAAGTCAAAAATTCATGAACTTTCAACCAAGATAATTATGCTTAGTTATGGTTTTTTGTATAGAAAATTTGGACCAATTAAGTGAGAGAAGATATAAAGAGAAGACATGGTGGGTCATTCTTGGAGTTGTGGTGAAGACTTTGGAAGATCTCTTTGATTAATACATTTTCTCACACAATTTTAATCAACCATGCTTTTGTGAACACACCCCCGCTCACACCCTACCTTACCCCACCCCGCTTTCTCTCTCTAAACTCATGTAGTTAGTAAGATCTTGGGAGATCTTATACATGGAAAGCAATGCTTAAACAATGTAAATTTCAACGTCAATCACGCAAATATCCTAGACAATAATCCATCATCAACACATAAAGGTGGGCTCCATTCTAACTTGTAAGATGTTACACATACACTCTGGCAAACTTACAATTATTTTACATGTTGTTCGACAAAATTTTTGATAAAAAATTTAACAAATTTCTATTAAACCAAGGACATAACATTAAGTACCTAGCTAATATTGATCTCCATTTTAATTTTCCAAATAAATGGACTAAAAACTTCGAAGTTTGAAATAAGATTGTTCATCTCTAAGTTAATAGAGTATCTTTACGAGGACAAGCCGTTCCTCATATACAGCACTTCAATTATTGCATCGAATATTAATCCCTCGTATGTTTAATATTTTATAAAGACTTTTTAACTCCGTAAAACATATCAATATATTTTATGGCATAAGGCCGCGTGACAGGTAAAGTGAATGCAAACAATATTCGATATAATCAGAGACTATCGGAGCATGGAGCATTTTGTAGTCGAGGGAGTCAGAATACCCACGAACGTGGACATGGGCAGTGAGCATTTTCCAATATTTTTTTTTATAAATATATTATATATATGTACAGAGAGGGGTGTGGGGGGGTGGGGGGGTCGTTGGGGCTCGTTCCACCACTATATATTCCAAATATGGATAAGAAACTGAGTACAAATACCCACACCACTGAAGTTTGGAGGCAAAGATATGGGTTTTGTAGGCTATATGCTGACATCTTTTTATTGGAATGCTTGCATATTTGTTCTGCAGACTGCAATCAAACGCTTGAAGAGTTAAAGCACTCATCGACAACCTTATAATCCTTTACTTACACTGCAATTTTCTTTATATTTTTTCTTGGCTGAATATCTTAGCATTCAAAATTTTAATATTGTCGAATATAATGTTTACAATATGACTAAAATATTATTGAATAAATTAACCAGAAGTAGCTGGACATAAGAGAGATACGTAAGTCTATGTTTGGATCACACATTTATAATTATTACTTCTATTATCCACGCATTTTATGAGATTAATTATTATTATTATTTCTATTTATAAATTTGAGGCAACGTTTGTCTGTTGATTGATCCCGTGAACAAGATCAATCATATAATTAAAATAAATGGGAAATAACTAAATTTGTTTTTAGGCAAATGTTGTGTCATCCCGTCATTGTGGTAGGTTTTCGTTCAATATTAATTGCACCCGCCTTTTTAAATAACTCTATCGTTACTTGCAATTACAGTTATTGAAATCGTTTTGGATAGTAGACAGATTCCGATGGGCTGGATCTGGTCTAGTCCTAGTGATGTATGTGGACCATTTAAAAAATAAATCTCATTCAAGAACTAGCTAGTTTTTTGCAGAAACATGATAAATCTGTTTAATTGAACTCAACGGGATTATGTGAAATTCAAAATTTTGACATGAAGGTACCTTGATCCCATATTAAGTAGATTTTCTAGACAGGACGATGGGACCATATGACAATATGAACATTATCAGAAAACAAGAAAAAATAAAGAACAAGACACTATTTACGGTAGATTATATGGGGCAAAACTCAATCATTTGACAGTTCAACCACCCTACAACACTCACATGCATCACATTCTTTACTTAAGCTTCTACTTTTCTTACATTAACACAACAAGAACAGCAAAATGAATTGACACTTCCCCTTCAAATTCATGTACTATAATTAAGTTCTAATTATCAGTTTTTAGTACGAATTTGGCATCTAAAATCCAAGGGTATTTTAGGTATTCCATTCGTAGTGAAATTAAAATGGTGCATATCATGTCGAAAAACCAAATGCAATCCATTGGGTCCAAGTGTTTCTTGGGGTACTGTCCCCAGTTTTACACTTACTTTCTTCTTCTTGGGATGTCCGCAATCCTCCATATATATGCATTGTGTCTATCCTTTACACTGCCCACAGATGCTTAAACTCTTGTAAACTTGTATAAGTACTCCACATATGCATCAACTCTCTTAATTCTTCTCTTTCTCTCAGTCACAAAAACACACACAGAGATATAGATATGGCAGAGCTAGAGTATCAAACTAAAACAAGTAATGGAGGCTTGAAGCTCTTTGGTTTTAACGTAACGGAAGAAGAAGAGGTAGAATCCACCAAAAGACGATCAGTGTCGTCGGAGTCTGGCGCTTTTCCGACGCCCGATGGCCGGAAATACGAGTGCCAGTACTGTTGCCGGGAGTTTGCTAATTCACAGGCCTTAGGTGGCCATCAAAACGCCCACAAGAAAGAGAGGCAACAATTGAAACGTGCACAAATGCAAGCAAACAGAAACGCATCCGTGTCTTATATGAGAAATCCTATAGTCTCCGCCTTTGCTCCGCCGCCTCATCTACTTCCTCCGACGGGTCATGTGGTTCTTCCCGCGGCGGTACAGCAATCTCCGTCGTGGGTTTACGTTCCACGTGCCGCACCTCCCTTCCATGTGTCGCACGGGCGTGTGTTTCCCGCATCTACGACTGGGAGGGGTATAGGGAACTTATCGTATGCCAGCAGTGCAGCGGAGTCCAGCTTGACAAGTGTTACGGGCCAACCCGTTAAAGCCCACAGTGGGAAGCTAGATGGACCTTCATTAAGTAGATTCTCTAGACCCGATGGTGGGTCCTATTTCGATGATACATTTGGGCTTGATTTGCAGCTCAGCCTCGCACCAGCCGAGACTTAGTGACACATTTGATAGGGAAGATTGCATTCTAATGAATAAAAATGAACTAAAATCTTATTCAGTATATTATCCGGTGCAACCTGCACAAGAGGTAATAGATGACTTGGGAGTTCATTCTCAAGATAAGGTTGGCTTGGCTAATCAGCTAGCTAGAAAGCCGATGTTAATTTATGGGTAGTCAGAGTTTGTACATTGTAAGATTTCTTTATTTGTTTCTCAAGGAAAATTTTCTACATGCACTGGCTATCTTATTATTTTTTATTCTGAATTATATTTTATAAAACTAGGACAATATAAAATGACTAAATTATAATAAAAATATATATAAAATCAGTACATTACCAAAAAGAGATGAAAAATAAAATAATAGCACCTGACAATAAGAATATTTTGAGTTAAATATAGGAAAATAATAATAATATAGAATTAAAGATAATTAAAAAAAATGGATGCCTTCTAATAGATTCTTCTTTTTATGGGTATGAAATTCGGTAGGCTTAACTAGCATAAAGACCAAGGTACAAATTACTTAGTAATATATTT